ATAAAATTCAGTATCAACTAATTAATAAAAATATGCAACAATAAAATTACATAGGTATTAAAAACTATCGAAATCTAAGTAACGAGAGCATGTTCGTCGTTCCACATCAGTGGCGTAGCGTGCCTTAGACGGGCCCCGTATCAAAATTTATTGGGGGGCCCAAATTAAGAGTAAAAATTTTTCCCAAAGGAAACAAAGAAGCTTGCAATACTCCTAGGAACTAAACTAGCCAAACAATTCAAATCAAATATACTTTTGCACGCCTCATAACGAAAAGCGTTATTAGGTAGTGCTTTACTGTCGACACGCCAAGGTAAAGCGATTTAGTGTTCTTAAAATGTCTCTATCATAACCATATTGCACTTATACTCGTACCACAGAATAATGCGTATACGATAATATGAGTAGCCGTAACAAGAAAACACTAATTAATCCATCTTATATTTTCTTCAAAATCATTTTACATAGTTACTTAAAATAAAAACGGTTTGAAAAAAAAATTACGTTGACGTCAGGATTACTAATTTTTTTTAGTCCTTGGTAGACAAAGGACACATGTACCAAACAGCCTATATCGATAGTTTTTTTTTTATAGAATAAGGGTAACAAACGAGCACACAGTCCACCTGATGGTAAGTGGTTGGTGTGACTCATAGACATCTACATTTATCCTCAATAAAGAATCAAAATGCAGATGCGTCGTTACTCGTGTGGACTAAGATGCAATGCCTCTTTTCCAGTAAAAAGGGTCTTCGGTTCTCTACACTCACCATACGAAACACAGCAGTGTCAAGCTGCCATTTACGCTGCTATTCTGTGAGAGCGTGGTCCTTCCCCGGTCGTGCTACAACTATACTACTAATATAGCTACAGCACGGCTCTACCACATAAAAAAGTTTGTGTAATCGACTAAATTTAGTAAACATCATTATTTTTTCCCTGTAGGTGACACTACCTGTTAAAATAATAGAGCACTAAATTTAAAACAGGTAAATAATATATTTTAAGTCAGGAATACAATTTGCTTTTTTCATGAAAACTATATGAAACGCTCCAAAGGCGTGCACTTCTGGATTTTCCAAACTATTCTTGCCTTTTGTTATTAAACTTATTTTTTATCATTCATAGCTGAAGATGATTTCAGTTTTTCTAAATTTTCTGCCTCTATAGACAATAGCGACAAGTCTGATAGCCTTTCCTGTCGCATAGAAGTGCTTAGAATTTTTGTTTATACACTCTCGGGGCCCCTGTAGCTCGGGGGCCCCGTATCATTGATACGGCTGATACGGCGGTAGCTACGCCCCTGTTCCACATCTAAATTATATAAAAATGCATTTTTCAATTTCACTAATCAAAGTCACCGCGAAAATTTCTTCTTCTTTGGGCACTTTAAAAATTCATTTATTTAGAAAATAATATTTACAGTTACCAGTGTACAGATATTAACTAAATTAAGTATTTCTAGTCATAAAAATATTTATAATTGAGTATGAACTTTTAAAAAACTAATATATATTTGAACGAAGTCGCTCCAACACCGACGTGCGGTCCACCCTCGACGATGTCCGAAAACGGACTGTCAGGCGTAGGACAGTTGCCTTGAACCACAAAAATTTAATGGATGGTGGCGCCATCCATAATTTGTTTCCAAAAATAATTTGTTTATAGTTAGTCTTATGGCTTCACAGATGTCGCTACTTTGGAAAAATAAAATGAAATTTACTTACAAAATAAAAATAAATGCACCAAAAAATTATTGGTGATTTTATTGATAAAAAATTATCATTTTAACATAAAAACACGTAATAATTATCGAATCAATCGATAAATATGACAATTATGATACTGGCAACCAGCATTTTATAATAAAAAAAATGAAATAATTGTCATATTAAATTGTCATTCCTGTAACATTGCAAATACCCTTTTTGTATATTATTATCTTACAAATACAAGTGTACTTATTGAAACTATTTACCTACTTTTAATATTAAAAGTATAAATTATTATTACAAAAAAAGTAGAAATTGTTTCAGTAAGTATGCGAATTAAAGAACATAATAGTTAAATTAATATGATGTACATAATATAGCTATATATAGCGAATTAGTTCGGATTCAATTTGTAGGAGACGCTAGTAGTTCAATTTTGTCTGCAATAAAATATCGTCAGAGGGCTCTCTTTTCCTGTATATACTTATTATACTCTTTGCGGACTGTGACAGAGCTTACATGGCGACGGAGCATGCGCGCTCGCGTAAATATATTCAATTTCAGGGGAAAATGATATATTCTCTTATAAAACGGGTAATAAAAATAAAACTCAATTAAAAATATTAATATTTTTAATACTTTTTTTTTTTAGTGTAAGAACTATTTAAAAAGCTTGTGCCGTTTTGGAGAAATTTTGCAAAATATGACAAAGATAGGACTCTTTGGGGATTTTTTTTTCTAATAAGGGGTTGACAAAAATACAATTTTGTTAAATTAAAAACATTTACGAAATCTTCTTCTGTTACCCTGTATTTTTTCTTTGTGGATTAAATGAACAGTTATTGAGATTTTTTTACTTAAATATACTAGATTTAGGCATTTCAACCACTGTTAAGGCCTTAAATAAATTTATCAATGACTTAAAGTAGTCAAAAATACAATATAAACAAAACACAATCAGACGACAAAAATATCCCTATTATCTCATGACACAAACTCTGGTCAGCGAAGTTTTGGAAGTCTAATTAAAATATTATAAGGCAATTTTTATATTATTAGAACATAATGATAAGATGTAAAAATGTAAATGTATATTAATAAAATAATGTGAGAACGGTTATTAATTCCGATTTCCATATTATTATTGGCCCAATATGGCAGTGCCCCATAAGAATATATCTACAAAAATATATTATGTTCATATAAAGTATAAAAATATATTATAATCATTACAATTATGTATTTAAAATATAGTATGTTCTTAAAGAAAACTGTAGTGACAATATCGATATCCATATTTTTCACAACATTCCTAATAACTAGAGATAGCTTAATAAGTGTAATGAAGCAAGTAAAAAAAATCTATAGAATCTAATTTTTTCATAGCCTGATATTATACTTTGTTTTTTCTTTGGTTATAGACCCGTACGGTTATACGTTTGCCAATGTCAAGTAACAAGAAATTGTTCTTTTTAATCTCAGACCAACATAGAAAGGCAGACGGAGCGCTGCGTAAATTTTAAGAACACCAAAACCATATTCATCTTGACACGAACTCACGCACACATCACTCTTCTTTCTTTTTCAGCCCGTAAAAGTTCACTGCTGGACGCACACATATGGGCGTACAACCATGTTTTTTTATGTCTAAATGATTTTAGATGCATAATGTATGAGTGCATGTCCTTCCAATAAGTTAAACATGGTTACTTGAAATATACGAAGCGCTATGACTATCTTTCTTTGTGGGTCAGAGTTTACAATATTTTATTAAAAAAAAAAACTTTTTCACAATATGACGATGTTTGATGTTACAACGTTACGAAATTTTTGAGAGATTGGCGACAGACGAACGCGGAAAAAATAATTAAAGATTTATAGCGACACCGAAGCACCTGTTTCGTCGTTTCTACTAATAGTTCATATGCGCAGACACTTAATACACACAATATCATCAATTTTACGTATTGCAATCCACTTCAAAGCTAATTTAAACGTTAAAACAAGGGTAACAATTTGCCGTTCATCAAGTTCCCGCCAAAACTCCTATTTTACATTGTAAAGAAAATTACATCATTTGACAAAATAATTTTTAACCTTAACATTTAGAATTATACTATGAGTTTGAATCTAAGAAGTAGTGATCAAGTTAAAACGAGTTTTTATAGCGTTAGTTTAAAAATGGCCTGTTGTACATTTAAAAAAAAATCACAAAATGGCCACTATGATATTGCCAAAATGGATCCGTGCAGTTTCCTGATGTTGCCGTTTTTGACTTGGTATTTTAGTATTTATTTATATTTGTATATTTTATTGTAAATTTTAATATTTGGTTTGATTTATATATGAAGTGAATGTTTCATTTTGTAAACAGCATTCTGTTATTGTTAGTGGCTTTCAATCATTGTAAAATAAAGATGACATAAAAATTTTAAATAAGTAAAATATGTACTGATATTGATACACTGTGTGTACATTTAAAAATTTGTAATTTCAAAATGTTATAAGATTTAAGCGTCACACAAACGGTGTTTGTGGTGGTGTTTTGATTTCGTGCATGATAAGTCGGATATAAAGACTAATCAAGCAATACCTTCAATGCTACAAGAAGTGACAAAGGAACAGACAAACAGATGAACAAACATACATCAGAAAAACACTATCCTCCTACCGAAGGACCATTATAAGATGCTGGAAATACATTTCCGTATAATTATATTGCAATATAGTTAATGTTAAAATAAATAAATCGAAAACAAAGTTATATCTAATAATAAACGTTCATTTGTACCAAGAGTGTGAAATATGTAGTAAGTTTGTAATAATATACAACATTGAAACATAATACTAATTGAATATTTTACTATATACTAAACATTTCACCTATATTTTGTAATAAATATCCCATGCTTAATGTGGTCCCATGTTGATCTGGGACTTATAGGTCAAATGTTTAAAATGGGACATATAAAAATATATGTACCGTTACTTGCCTAGCAAATCGTAAAAGGTGACTAATGGGTTTGTTTAGCCACCTATTACTTCTTTCACAATTTGTATGTAAACTCTTATTTTTAATTAAATGTGATCCGAGTAGCTCGCTGCACTTTGCACTCTGCCTGTTCTTTCTAATAAATAATTCACGTCTTAAAATAAATATGTTTTCTAACTCTAATACCTGCTATAATAACTAAAACGAAATTTATTCACCGGAATATGTTGTATAAATATTATAAGCCTCTTTGCAAGATATATTTTTTAAAATTCAAGTTGATAATTGCCTTGAATTTACAATAAAGCTGGGATAATAGCGAATCTGTTTGTCGGGTAGCCTTTGAATGACTTTTTGTACCACTCGTGTGCTTGGATGGCAGTCTGAATCTGGAAAGAAAACAACATTTTTAAACGATTTAAGTACTCAAGTACTGTATTTGTAGAAAAGGAAACCTTGCATTTTAAAGTCACTTATCCTTGATTGTGTGTGCGTAAAACAATACGCACATTAATAAAAAAAATTGAACTTCTTAAAACCAAAACATTTCATTAAGGTAGGTAAGTGTACGTAGAAAAACATAAAAACTAATAAATTATTGTTTTACATTACACTCTCATGACACGCATGATCAGGTTGGTGTAACTCTGTTTGAACACATGAGTAAGAAATCGTACAGAGGCAAAGCTTCTAAGGAGATGTCCAAATTTTTACCTATTTTGGTAGGGTAATATTAAATAAACAAAACGTTTATCAGTTTTTTACTACGCACATATGATAAAATATTTTTTACTACTGACTCAAAATATTTTGTTTTTGATTAAGTAATTTGTTGTGCCTTTTAGTTGAATGGTAAATTTTAAATGTAATATAAAGTTTCTTTCTTAAATAATCTAATAGAAAGCACTGACATGGCAAATATAAGCTTGCACACGTTTTAATATATCCACACACTAATAACAGTAAATAAATCACTATCAATATTAACAAAGATTATTTTGAAATCAAGATATTCGCGAAATTTATGCTCAAGCAGTTCAATGAAAGCGATAAATTTGTTGACGTATATGTATGAGATATCTATCTGCCACATTTAAAATAATAAATAATAATCAAGTACCTAGTGGAGTGAATAAAACGTGACATATTTTTATTAACTTTCTTTGCTTTGAACAAGTTACAATATTCTCGTAAATAAGTACTATATATAATAAATAATTATTAATTGTATATATACGTTCTATTATCGTTCATTCACGCAGTACAGTAAACCATATGTACACTCTTTAAATTTTACATGACACTAAGTTATATTTAAATCAAACGTGAAACGAAAACAAGCACGATGCGCGTCGTGTACACCCTGAGTTTGAGCACTGGCCGAGCAGGTTTACAACTGCCGAGAGAAACTGCTTTAAATTTAAACTTTAAAACAGTTTTTCTCAGTACGTGACAAGCCGCCAGTGCTCATGTACACACGCGCCTTAAGCTTGTAGTAGTGTACCTATCATAGCGCGGTTGTATGAGGCTTTGCCTCTGGTCGGTTTCTTTCACGAAACAAATACAAAGAGATGACATAAGCAACTGTGCACTGTGATTCTAACTAGGTCCTGACGTCATCACAGTGGGCGTGGCTTTACTTAGTATACTGTCAGCGTTCGTCCTTATGTGTCGAAAATCGCAAATGGGTGTATTTTCGTAGTACTAAGAAGAAAAGGATGAAGTGTTGTGTTTCATCGTGTAAAAACTACTCAGATGCTATGGATGGCATCACACTTCATTTGTAAGTAATTTTATATCTAATTTATTAAAAGGTTCTAGAAAAGTCTGCGTCTGCTTTCGAATGTAATTAAATATATTCGACACTAGATGGCGACACTTTGTGTCATGGGAACTAAAAAGTTACGTCGAGCTCAGTATTGGTAAAATAATCATACGAAGGTGTTGAAATTTGTTTTGCATTCAGTCGTAAATAATTTTTAATCACCTAAATATTATTTTTATAGTTTTTATAATTATTTTGTGAACAGGCCGCCATCTATCGTCAAGGTAGCTAAACTACATTGCAACATCGATATGGAACGATGCGAGTAGTTTTACTATTTATCGGTAGATGGAAAATAGTAGTGGGCGGGGCTTAACCCCACAAATTGTCACGCGTTGTTACATAATGAAATCTAATTACAACCTAATTGTATTACTCATGTGCTATAAGCGACAGTAGCGGACAGTAATGGTAGGAGGCGAGCCACGAACTCAGAGACTATGGGTTCGAATTTGTTATTCGAATACTGCCGTGATATATTCCTAACACACTAACACAAGCGCTTTAAGCTTACCAGGAGTCGTTAACGGGAATATTACTAATGTTATTAGGTCTCAATGGAGACTAGTCATCTCGTAGTTCGATGAGACGGCAGTCCGACACGACCGGAGAGAAATCAGGCGCAGGGGCATCGGCTTTTCGTGCCTGTCGGGGCTACGGGAAACACCACCCTCGGAGAACTCATGACCATCCAGACTTTTGAGGATTCAACAATATGTCTTCCATAAAAGACCTTACACGTATTAAACACAAAAATTACGAACCTGATTGCTTAGCACCCACAGGTATATGCAAAAGAATGTTTTTGTCGGTATCAATATGATAAGAACGGTGTATAAAATTATTTCACAGAGCCTATGCGGACTAGAGACCAGCTCGAAAAGCCTCCCGTGTGGTATCCTATGTTCCTCCGTCACAACTTCACCGGTCTTCTTGTCCCTGCGCAGATTTGCGAAGATTACGTTGGTTTGGTACTGCTCGTAACAGACATACAGGAAGATTAGTATGCATGGAACTGCCAAAATGCTCGTACGTTTATCAGTCCAGACGACTTCGTCCCTGTTTTGGTTGCCTGAAATTTAAAAGGATAACTTAATATAACTGGCGGCACACAACTGTGCAACGACTTTGTTTTCCGGTCTCAGTCCAAAAAAGAAAAATAGACCGAAAGACTCACGCACACATATTCATATAAAATAATTTGCAAGTAACAGAGAGGAGAGATACGTGGTAGAGCCATGCTGCAGCTATATTTCTGGTATAGTTGTAACACGAATGACTCGACCGGGGAAGGACCACGCTCTCACAGAATACCAGCGTAAAATTGCAGTTTCGTATGATGAATGTAGAGAACCGGAGACCCTTTTAACTGGAAACGAGGCATTCCAACTTAGTCCTCACGGGTGACAACGCATCTGCATTTTGATTCGTAATCGAGGATAAATGTAGATGTCTATGGGTCACAGCAACCACTTACGAGTACCATCAGGTGGACTGTGTGCTCGTTTGTCACCCTTACCATATAAAAATAAAACATGGTTTCATCGTCACTTGAAATGTACTTAGTGTTCGGTATCTTTCTTTCTTAGTCCAAGGTGTCTGTTTAAAAGGCAAGAGAGGCCGTAAAGCATTCCATCTTAGAAGGCGTGTCGGTAGTTAACAATTTCGAGTGTAGTGCTCCCAACAACTATCGGAATGGGCATTACACATGATCTTTGTTTTGTCCATGTACATTTTAAGACCTATCAGTTGGGAGACACTATTGAAATCATTGAGTATAGTGCTTACGTACTCCAGTGATTATGCCATAAGGACTAAATCTTCGGCAAATCGAAGGTGAGTGATGTAATCACCATTGATGTTAATACCGTATCCTTTCCAGTCCAGTAGCTTGAAAACGTCTTCCAATGCAGCGGCGAAGAGTTTCGGGGATATAACGTCACTCTGTCTTACACCTCTCTGCAGTTGGTTAGGTTTCGTTACTCTTATTCTGTTTCTGTACTCGGATAGCTATCGTAGCCCTACTGTACAAACACTTCAGCACTTCAATATACCGACAGTCAACTTGGCATCGCTGATGGGACTGTAGCACCGCCCAAATTTCGATATAATCAGAGGCTTTCTCATAGTACACATACACAATACAAAGTGGCAGATTGTACTCTTCTGTCTTATGTACAATTTGCCGAAGGGTATGTATGTGGTATATGGTACTGCCTCCCGAACAAGCCTTTTCCGGACCCGGCTTGTTCGGGTGGAGGCTGGAAGTCGTCGAGTCTGAGTGCGGGCGATTTGTAATGACTTTTTGGCAAACAGATCTCTAGCAATGACTTTTGAAGCTGTGGTTCCGCTCGATCTTCTTCAAACCATCGAGGGACCCACTCAAACACATCCAAAAATTTCATCAAAATCGGTCCAGCCATTTAAAAGTGACAAAGACACGTACAGAAGAATTATATATCTCTAGATATATTTTTTCATAAAAATCTACAATCATTTTTAGGGTTCCATACCCAAAGGGTAACCAACGGGACCCTATTACTAAGACTCTGCTGTCCGTCCGTCTGTCTGTCAGCGGGCTGTATCTCATGATCCGTAATAGGTAGACAGTTGAAATTTTCACAGAATGTTTATTTCTGTTGTTCTGTGTATCCGCTATAACAACAAATAATAAAAATTAAAATAAATTAAACATTAAAAGGGTCTCGCCTACTAGAAACGTATATTATGATGGTACGGAACCCGTCATGCGCGAGTCCGACTTGCACTTGGCTGGTTATTAAATAAATGATGTAATCTTATTATTCTATATCATGATAAGAAACTTGTTATCAATAATACCTTTCACACATTTCTTCTACGTTTTTAAATTTTGTGACTATGGTTTAATTGCTTAAGTTCTATAATAAAGAAATAAATAAAAATATACTTAAAAGTCTTATTTAAGCAATGTCATTGATAAATAAAACAAAATTTGAAAATAGTCTGAAAAGCTATATAAAACTGATGATCTTATAGCACATATATTAAAGTTTTTTTTTTAACGGATAGGGTGACAAGCTAGCACACAGGCCACCTGATGGTTAAAGGTTGCTGTGACCCATAGACGTATATCTATCCTCAATAACTTCACTGTTTGAATGGACATCTGATCAGTAATTATTGCATGCCTGGAGCATCCTTTAGTCATATAATGAATAAAGTTTTAGCTAGTAAATTTTGTCCTAATAGCACATTAATAATTCTTGTTGGGAGAAGAGGCAATGTAAACAAAAATCAATTATTAAACAGACTATTATGCGAGACAAGTACTGCAGTGCATAGGTGTATCAATGTATTGTATGATGTTTGTCAGTCCTGTCAAATATTATCACACTAAGTCAAATAAGTATCGGATTGTCTTAGTTATTGGTAAATGTTCAAACATCTTCATCAAAATGACACTTACGAAATAAATGACGTACTTACCACAAAACAATGGTGCCTGCCCCACAGCTGCGATTACGCAGGCGAAATAATGCACCATTCCAACAAGATAATGGCTCAGGTTCATTTTACTGGACTTAGCGAACACTTGAAGGCAGTATGTCTCATAGCAACGTCGTACGCACTGGAGGGTAAGGAGGCTCATAGTTATGATGGCAGCTGATGCACTCACTGAAAAAGGTAGTTATTATATTATCATGATGTCTGAAGTCATTCACTGGGCAGGATATTTTATAGTACCACAATGGTTACTCTAACCCAGTGATTACCAACCAGTGGTCTGCTGACCACCAGCGGGTCCACAAGAGCTTAAAATAAATATGGTCTGCCAAAGATTTAAGAATTTTACCTACCTAATTGTTTTAAATAATACATTTATTATTTTATCGTCACGCGGGCAGTGTAACACTGTGCGTCACTTTAATAAGTATCTACTAGCTTTTACAATAAATGCACAAAAAATAATACTGTTAATGAATGCTTCTTTTCAGTTTATTATATAATTATGTTAAGAGTTGTTATTATAATTTATTGTTGGATTAACAGTTTTTTCTTTTACCTCGTGGTCCCCGCTAACTTAAAAAAAATCAAAGTGGTTCCAAGTCAAAAAAAGGTTGGGAAACCCTGTTCTAACCTAACACAAAGGCACTTGCATACTGAGCTCTTATGCATTGAAAAAAGTAAAAGTTCATAAGATCAATTTGATAACATTTTGAGTTCATTTACTGATGACAACTGGCAACTGTAACTGATGGACTCTAATAATGAACTTTATTGAAATGCAGTGGCATAGCAGGGTGTCATGACCAACAGCACACATGAACGCACACATGAACGACATCAAGCAGAGTTTAGAGGGATTTTGGAAAAGAAAAGCTTTTTGGAAAAAAAAATCTGCCAGCTAGATTGAAAGTGAGATTCATTTTTTATATGGGCACTAACAATCCTAAAAGAATCCAAGGTAGAAAAGAAGCAGAAGGTATATTCCTATATAAATTTTTTCTCCCATTTCCCAAAATTTGTGTTAAACAATATGTAAAATCCTTTATAATTACCTAATTTTAGTATGTGTCTTTAATAAAATTTGTCATAGTAGTTACAATCTAAACCTTAATGATTTCTTAAATTTAGACAAACACTACACAGTAATTTTGAAAACCAGCGTAAAATAGCAGCTTAACGCTGCTGTGTTTCGTAAGGTGAGTGTAGAGAACCAGAGACTCTTTTTACTGGCAAAGAGGCATTCCATTTTAGTCCTCACGGGTGACAACGCATCTGCATCTTGAGTCTTTATTGAGGATAGATGTAGATGTCTATGGGTCACAGTAACCACTTACCATCAGGTGGACTGTGTGCTTGTTTGTCACCCTATCTTATAAAAAAAAATCAAATTAATTTTATGGATTTGATTGCATTTTTTTTTACTTAATTTTTAAATCCCGATGTTTGGGTGGTTAAAATAGCCCATGGTCACAGGCGACTCAGGTGTTTTGTTCTGATGTCATAGTAAGCCCAGATTACCCTTAGCTTTTGAATATTAATTTATTGGTCTAATATATACATAATAACTAGCTTTCAGTATCTTGAGTTTTGCAGTGAAATGCTTGGGTTTGGATTTAATTTTATTAATTATGGGATGCAAAGCAAATAAGTGTGTGCCACCTAAGTATCTGCCCTATTGAAATTTAGACAGCTTTTAATTTCAAAAGCGGCTATTGTAATTAAAAACTCAGTGCTAGTAGAAATTAATGTTTTTTTGCAAGGATTTGTGGTTTATCAAATATGGTATAATGGCAGGGACAATCCTAGACATGTTCCCAAGCTGCAGACTTCCCGTTGGAATGGCATTCCACATCGGCTACATATTCTTATAGGAGGGTTTTTATAAATCTATATCTTATATAATATATATCCCTCATATCCCTGTAAAATTTAACATGAGACTTTTATGTATCCAACTTCTACCTACACTTAAATTATTTATTTTGTATTATGATGTGCATTTGACAATGGAATTATCTGATATGAGGGGATATTTTTGTTCTTCTTTTGTCTCAAGCTTCATTGAATGAGGTATAGGCACTGCCAGGGTGCTCTTAGGAACAAAAATAATCTTCTATGCCAGTACCAATGCAAGCTTGTGTTGTATGTAATGAGTTATATTATATTTTAACTTGGACTGATGCTGTCTGTGTAATAAACACTTCGTTCCACATTTAAAAAAAAATATATAAAAAAATGCTTGCCATATAGTGGCAGTTGGATAATCCACTAACTCATAATATAGTCCAGTGGGTATAGTAAGAGGCAACGGAGGGAAACTGAAACTTGAGATTGGCAGCCGTATCTTCTTGACAACTGCTCAGTTATAAAAAATTGTGGCCACCAGCCAGCTCGCCAAGCAAGGCAACTATTGTAAAAAGCACGAGGCAATTTATGGGAGAGGCCTATGTTCAGCAGTGGGCTTTAGCTTTGCTATAATGAACAAAAAAAACACTTACCTGCCGATTCATCCTGCTCCAATAATATTCTTAACACAAAAACAATATACGAGTTTACATTGAAATTTAAATAATAAACTAATACCATGTATGCCAAAGTAGCAGTACTAAATACAGAAGAGAAGAAATAGAAATGGCGGTAAAATGCCTTAGGAATTTCTATCATCTGCAAATAGTTAGCTCCAGAACCCTGGTATGCAAAACTACCGTATCTGTAACTTTTAATAACGAAAACCGGCACATGTTTTTCAAAATTATTTATTAGAAATCCAGTAAAAGTAACCATAAAAGCTAAACTTAGAAAGATGAGATCTAGTATATTCAACATTATGGAAGTTAACACTTGCTTCGTCTGTATTAAATCTATAAAGCAAAACTCTCTTTGAAAGTAACTATGGAATGAGGCATAACGGTATTTAATTTATACGGGATAGTACATGTTAACTATAACCAGTCACCGTTTGCGTAACTATTGAAGCATTAGAATAACCGTTTGTTCCACTTTTCTCGAGCTCATTCATGTGATCAGTGTTTAAGAAACAATCATACTATCACAGTCTATACTATTATTCTTAGGCTGTGATACTAATATTATTACAGACTTATGAAAATTAAACATAAGATCATAGTTTTTAATGAAAAACACTGAAAACATTTTGCTTTATATATTATTTGACACTGACACTGACATACTGACATATTGACAATGACCTATTCACTGACTGAAAGTATATATCTCTAATCTCTATGGACCTATTGATGTAGGTATTTCGGTGAAACCAGCAATAAAAATAAAAACTACAATAATTCCAAAATAATTCAACTTACATAATATAAAAAAAATTGCTATTATAAGCCAGTGGTTATCTACTTATCCACCTGATGGTAAGTGCTTATGCAATTGAAGACTTAAAAATGGAAAAGCGCACTGACTTGGAAGTGCATTTAACTGTAATCAGATTATAATCGGATGGAAAGACAGATGCTAGCAAATAATTGCACTTCTTTGCTGTGCGAATGGCAAATCAAACCGTTTCGTTGGAATGAAAATCATAGTGTGGATTCATATTTTGAAAAGAAAAAGAAAAAAAGAGTAGATACCACCATTTTCATTACAAAAATTTTCACCAGTGGTAGAGCCGCGCGGCAGCTTTTGCTGTCGCACGGATGGGCCGGCTCGAACCGGGGTGGTACCACGACCTCACAAAATACCAGCGTGAAGTAGAGGTTTACCTCTGCGTTTCGCTTGGTGAGTGCAGGTGGCCTGAGGCCCTTTTTACTGGAAATGAGGCATTCCATCTTAGTCCTCACGGGTGACAACGCATCTGCATTTTGATTTGTAATAGCGGATAGATGTAGATGTCTATGGGCCGCAGCAACCACTTACCATCAGGTGGACTGTGTGTTCGTTTGTCACCCTTATCCTATAAAAAAAAAACCAGATGAGCGTCCGGTGACCCGATGTTAGAACAAAGAGGAAGTAATTATATCAAACAATTCCTACGCACACTCACCGAAATGCACTGTAAAATACCGGATATGCGCTATATATAATGTAAGCAACTGTCCTGGAGAGATGTATCACCGCGCCTTTTCTAGGACAACTAACTTCCACGCATCTTCTTTGATGCAATGAACCTCCCAAGTTTAGGTTCGAGGATAATAATATGTCAATCCCCAACAATTTAAGGTAGTTAGAGAGACATTTCGAAAAGTAGGAACCAGAGTGGTTTAGTTTGGCCACTTTTATCATGAAAAGATATGCTCGTATTTCGGAAGCGTTGAATATCACAATATTGGTAAAACCCTGTTCGGAGACTACCTGCAGTGAGAGATTCATGTGCTCTGTTTTTCGTTATTGTTATTTGAAACGTTATTGAAAACAAAGTACCAGCAATAAAATATATCTGATTTTTCGTTTTGTTGTTTTAATATTTAATAATTTAAGTTACTTAAATATTTATTGTAATGACCATTTCTCACTGTAGACTGTTTCTTAGTGTATTTGTTTTCCTTAGGTGAAATTCTTCCATTGATATTAATCCATTTCCTTCTTCATTATCGGGAATTTTTATATAATACGAGTATACAGCATTATTTTTGTTACTACAATTCGTTTTACAAAATTAAAAAAGAATATATTTTAGAAACAAGTTACACACAGTTACAGTTATTGGGTTATTAAATAGATGCAAAACAAATATTAATTACAAAGAAAGAAAATTAGTGTTTTAACATGTATGCAAGGTACTATATTATTTGATAAGTAGCTATATAGGGCGCTAATTTAATAAAAAATATTAGGTACCTACTTGTAAAATGAAATGTAATCTGCTAAAGTATCTTTATAACCACAAACTAATAAGAATATCTAGTGCATTTGTAACTCACTTGATGTCTTTTAAATTAGCAATGTAGCATATAATATAACAAAGAACATTATGTCACACTCCATTCTTTTCTTTTTTATATTCTACTAAGCCAGCGCTAATCTACGATCCCACCTGATGGTATGTGATGATGTAGCATAAAATGGCGAAGCGCACTGACTTAAAAAAGCCTATTCACTCTTGCCTTGAAGAGACCCACACTGTAATCGGATGGAAAGACAGATGCTGGCAACTTATACCACTCCTTTGCTGTACACATGATGAACGACGTCGCGAACTGTTTGATTCGAATGCGTGGTAAGTCAACACCGAAAGGTTGGAGACTGGCCGAACGTCTGGTTGTCCGATGGTGGAAGGGAGAGGGAAGAATTAAATTATGCAATTTAATTCCTCCCTCATTTCACATCCTGTTGAAAACCTAAAGGCTGCCTATTTTGCGTCTGTGTTTGAAGCTGGTAAGATTGGTTTTAACCAAATTCGGTTCAACAATAAGCCTCTTAGCACGACTTTTCATTGAGTCCAAAGCTGCTAGGTGGCTATTTTGCAGCACCAAACCATATATGGCAGCAATACTCCATGCACGACCGGACTTGCGCTTTATATAAAGTAAGCAGCTGTCCCGGCGTGAAGTATCTGCTAGCTTCCTTGCAGCTGCTTTGGCTTTGGACTCAATGAAACGCCCGAAGTTCAGATTTGAGGATATCTCAAACCCTAACAACTGAAGGTGGTCGCTATATTCCAGTGCTATATTTCGGAAAGAAGGAGCCAAGGTGAGCTGGCTACTTTTTGCATTGAAGAGACACGCTTGTGTTTTGGAGGCGTTGAATTTCACAAGATTGGCATCGCCCTTTTTGGAGACTTTTTTTTTTATAGGAATACCGTGACAAACGAGCACACAGCCCACCTGATGGTAAGTGGTTACTGTGATCCATAGATCATCTACATTTATCCTCGTTTGCGAATCAAAATGCAGATGCGTTGTCACCCGTGAGGACTAAGTTGGAATGCCTCTTTTCCAGTAAAAAGGGTCTCCGGTTCTCTACACTCACCATACGAAACACAGTAGCGTTAAGCTGCTATTTTACGCTGGTATTCTGTGAGAGTGTGGTATTTCCCCGGCCGAGCCGACCCATTTGTGCTAGAACTATACTATTAATATAGCTGCAGCATGGCTCTACCACTTTGAAAAAACTGCCTGTAGTGTGAGATTCACATGCTCTACCATAGCTTTTCTTTCGGACTGCATGTGATCCCGACTAGCCCGAGGACTTGGTATCTGGTATCTCTCAACAACTGTGCTATCGTTTGCATATCCATATATACCGGTTTTATCGGTGGTAGAGCCACGTAGCAGTTTTTGCTGTTGCACGTATGGGCCGGCTCGAGCCGGGTTGGTACCACGACCTCACAGAATACCGGCGTGAAGTAGAAGCTCTGCTTCTGCGTTTCGTCTGGTGAGTGCAGGTAGCTGGAGGCCCAATCCCCCCCCCCCATCAACATGGTAGCGGAATTATACAAGAGACTACCCCAGGAGGGTACCAGGACCCCTGGAGAATCCCTCGCTGAGCATCCACGACCATGTTATTCCAATCCTGAGCGTGGGTGCTCAGGCTGCCCCGCGTATTCTGGGGGGGGGGGGGGGGCAAAATTCCGCTCAAAAACATAACTGCTCGGGGCAAACTGAGCAACAATACCAAGGCGACCCCTGCCACGCTATCCGTGAATTTCTGCAACATCAGGGGACTTCACTCTAACCTAAACGCCGTCCACTACCATCTCGAGACGGCGAAGCCGGCCTTGCTCTTTCTGACCGAGACGCAGGTTTCCTCTCCGGCTGATATTTCGTATCTCTCCTACCCGGGGTACAAATTGGAGCACTCCTTTGTGCCTCGGGCTGGAGTTTGCGTGTATGTCAGAGAGGACATCTGTTCTCGACGCCTCGGCAGTCTTGAAGGTTCGGACCTGTCCATCCTTTGGTTACGCGTAGACAGCGACGACCATCCGCGCGTCTACGGGTGCCTCTATAGGTCCCATAGCGGTAATGCCGAAACAAACCGACTCATCGACCACGTCCAAATGGCTACAGATTCCATGCTACAACAGGTCCCATCCGCAGAGATCGTGATCCTTGGCGATTTTAACGCCCACCACGCCGAATGGCTCGGTTCACGTTTAACCGATCATGCGGGGAGATCTGTTTTTGACTTTGCCTTGGCATATGGTCTGACACAACTGGTTACATCGCCTACGCGGATTCCAGATGTGGAGGATCACACACCTTACCTGTTGGACCTTCTGCTGACCTCTCATCCGGACGGATATCAGGTTTCTGTCGATGCCCCTCTCGACTCTTCGGACCATTACCTGATCCGGAGTGTGGTGCCACTCACGCTCCCCTCGCGGTTGCGTTTTGCAGGTTGCCGCCGTGTTTGGCATTACAGGTCGGCGGATTGGGACGGAATGCGGTCTTTCTTTGCTTCCTACCCATGGGGGCGGGTTTGCTTCTCGCCGGATGATCCCAGCGCTGTTGCTGACTCTGTCACTGATGTGGTGCTACAGGGAATGGAACTATTTATTCCATTATCTGTGGTACCCATCGGAGGCAGATCTGAGCCTTGGCTTGGTCGCTCCTGTAAGACTGCATTACGCAGTAAGCAGAAGTGTTATCAAGCCTGGGCTGCGGCTTCGGTGACTCGGAATGTAAACACCAGCACACTTAAAAAGAAGTATAACTTCGCCTCCAGATCCTTCAAAAGAGTTATTGCCAAGGCAAAGTCAGAGCACATAGGCAGAATTGGCGAGAAACTAGTTCACCTTCCTTCGGGAGCCCGTGCATTCTGGTCTCTCGCCAAGGCTGTCCAAGGGAATTTCTGTAAGCCATCACTACCATCTCTGCACAGGGAGGATGAATCACTGGCCCATGATGCAAAACACAAAG